TAATATAATAATATAATAATATTAATAATGATTCTTCTTCTTCTTCGAATATTAATGGTCCTGGTCTTAAAAATGATACGATGCATGAGGCGAGACGAAACAGAAACAGAAACTATGAAGTTTGTAGAGCTACAATCAGCTACAACTTACAGCGCCACTAGAATGAGATAGCATGATTTTTTCTCTCTCGCACAATTTCGACGAATAATGGCGAACTTCACGTGTCCAGACTCTTATTAGAGGGTCACTAGTAGGATTCTATCGGTTACTTACGATACCTGTTAATCAGGTTTAATCGGCGACGCAGTTCAACCGGAATTAGTGAGATTTTATCGGTTCTATCACACTATGAAGTTAATCGGTTTCAATTGGTAAATTCGTCGAATGCCGTTTAATGGGATTTTTGGTTTCTTACGATACCCGCTTAACCGGATTTAATCGGCGATGCATTTCAGCTGGAATTAATAGGCTTCTGTCGGTTACTTATGATACCTGTTGAATCGGGTTTAATCGACGACACAGTTCAACCGAAATTAGTGAGATTCTATCGGTTTTATCACACTATGAAGTTAATAGGTTCAATTGGTAAATTCGTCAAACGCCGTATAATGGGATTTTAAGAAACGTCTTATGGGCCTTCTACAATAAGCCGTAAAGCGGGGAGCACAGACTTTTGCATAACGCATAAACCATATACATAAAGAATCTGATTGGTCCATTGACTCATGCATAAGAAAATGGGCCAATGAAATTCCTTATGCACATGCTTTATGCGTTATGCAAAAGTCTGTGCTCCCCGCTTAAGTCACAAATCATAATTCATAAGCTAGAAATGGACCAATTACAGTCGTCAATTTTCAGTTTCTTACTTCCGATTCATGACTTATGGCTTATTGTAGAAGGCTCATTAAGCCCATTCTACATTGGTCGTATCGTAGCATCGTAAGTGTCGTGAGACTTCTAATTGACACATCAGATTGGCTGTTGCAACAAATTTGTGACCTGCGACGTCTACGATACGACCAATGTAGAATGGGCTTTACAGCCAATAAACAGGCTTGAAAAGCCTTGTCGTACGACCATGAAGGAAGATATAAGGAGACTCCACTCGGTCTCGCCCATGAAGGAAGATATAAGGAGACTCCACTCGGTCTCGCCCATGAAGGAAGATATAAGGAGACTCCACTCGGTCTCGCCAGTCTACAAGACATGAACCCATTTTAGGTTTCGAGTTCCGTTTCCGATTCTCGACACTCGCAGCGCTCGTGAATTTAGTAGTGCTGCGCATAATGAGTGCGAGTAAGAGAAATGATCATTTCTCTTACTCGCACTCATCAGAATCGGAAGCTGAACTCGAAACCTAAAATGGGTCCACTTTTATTTTACGGAGTGGAGTCTCCTTATATCTTACTTCCTGCGTACGACACATGAAATATCGGCCGGGTGCAGTCACATGGAGTCAGAAATAACGGAACGGAACAGTAACGGAACATTGATAGAAAAGAGATAGAACAATCCTATCTCTTTTCTATCAATGTTCCGTTCTCATTCCGTTCCGCTATTTCTTTCTCCATCGGGACGCACCCTTACGACTACGCATGTTACGTCATACCTAAAGGTTGATTTATACTGGCCGTAAACTGTTAACCAGGAAGTAAGATATTAGGAGACTCCACTCCGTAAAATAAAAGTGGACCCATTTTAGGTTTCGAGTTCAGCTTCCGATTCTGATGAGTGCGAGTAAGAGAAATGATCATTTCTCTTACTCGCACTCATTATGCGCAGCACTACTAAATTCACGAGCGCTGCGAGTGTCGAGAATCGGAAACGGAACTCGAAACCTAAAATGGGTTCATGTCTTGTAGACTGGCGAGACCGAGTGGAGTCTCCTTATATCTTCCTTCATGGTCATAAGTTAACAGATTACGGCCAGTATAATCCAACCCTTAAGTCATAAGAAATTGACCACTCACATTCGATTATTCTTCTCACATTCGATTGTGATTGATCAATTTCTTATGACTTAATACTTAAAACTTAGGTAATGACTTATTGTAGAAGGTCTATTATGGGCCTTCTACAATAAGCCATAAATCATAAATCGGAAGTAAGAAACTAAATGGACCTTCTACAATAAGCCATTACTTAAGTTTTAAGTGTTAAATCATAAGAAATTTACCAATCACAATTGAATGTGAGAAGAATAATCGACTGTGAGTGGTTAATTTCTTATGACTTAATACTTAAAACTTAGGTAATGGCTTATTGTAGAAGGCCCAAAAAATTGACGACTGTGATTGGTCCATTTTTAGCTTATGACTTATGATTTGTACTTACGGCTTATTGTAGAAGGCCCATTAGGCTAGAATCAGACTACGCATTGAAAATTGAGATTGAAGATCGAAAATTGAAATTTGACCAATGAGGATAAAGAAATTTTAGCTCCTATTATTTTGATTAGCCAAAATTCAATCTTCCAATCTTCAATCTCAATTTTCAATGCGTAGTCTGATTCCGGCTTTACGGTCTCTACTGTGATTGGCCAATTTGCTTACTGATTACGTTTTATGGCCTTATATGTTTTTCTATGTGCCATGGGCTTGACATCAAAGGTGCCGACAGAGAGTTTCCATTATTTCCATACTGTATATACTGTGGCATCGCACTACAACGGCATACAATAATAAAAGAGTTTGTGCTCTAGAGATTTTAGACAATATTTTGACCTCAGTTGCCACACATAACGCTGAAATTGATAATTTAATAGAAAGTACTGGTTAATACTCGTATCAATTGCACGATGTAAACTAGGCCACTATTTCTGTTATTTTAACGAATTGAATGAAGAGCTATCGTATTTGATTGCCTGTTCCGACACTGTTTTGCAGCTAATGTCATCTCTGTTGAACATGTGATTGATGCAAGAAATACCGAGATAATCAGATTTACAATGACACCAGCATCTCGTGAATTCGTCGTTAATCTACTAAATGTCAAGGCTGAAGATAAGACGATTAAAACGAATGAGGGCGAAAATGTGTGCGACGTGCAGCCTAACCTGCCAATTGAGTCATTATATCATGCCGTGTATATTCCACTGGAATACAGAGACCAATCAGATGGAGAAGGTAATTAATCAAGCGTCGATTTATTAATTATTGTAGATTTTATTTTATTAACGCTGTAGCTATACACACTGGGGTCTCAGAAAGTTTGCAGTTTGCTAAATTCAGATTTTCTTGTCTTTTTCCCTGAACTTTTCTTTTTCTCTAAACCTATATAGTTTGAAGCTCTTTAATTCTATCGATTTTTACGCATTATGAACTTGTTTCTTAATCAATTCTTCATCGATAAAAAAAAATTGAAATAACAAAATTTCTATATATAATATTAATTAGTCCAGAGCCGGTCCGAGCATCCTTGGCGCCCTACGCAAGATTTAAAAAAGCGCCCCTCCCTCTCATTTTCTCACATTCATATAATAATATATAATAATAAAATAATAATATATAATAACAAGATTTTGAAATTATTTTGTATTTTTATTTAAACATGAACTTTAAATAAAATTTAAAAAATTTACATATATAATATATCTCACATACTTTATTCATAAATGTAAATTGAACAATATAATTTTTATATTAATAACTTAAATACTAAAAAAGATACAACGAGTTTATTACGGATTGATATTACGTGTAGATTCAGGTTTGACTTGTCTGAACGTATTTTTTGATCACCAAACAGTGACATGTCTTAGGGCAATTTCTTATGGCTCGTGGTTTGGCTTACCAGTCAGTTCACTCACTCATAGCCAAGTCAACAAACAAGCAGCGAACATATGCGGCGAGTGAAAGGGGACGTCTCATCAGAAACAATAGGAAGATCACCAAATTACGAAGTAACAGTGAGAAGTCACCCTCATGCCTCTCGCCGCTATGCTCGTCGTTTGTGCTTTTGCGACTTCAATGCTTTTTCTTTATTTACTTTGCTGTGTGTAACTGGTCCATACACTCTATAGATACATCTAGACTGCATTTGCTTTGGCTCTCACGACGCTTGTGAGCATCAATTATTTAATATTTAATAAACAACAAACACGAAACGACGCTTAAAGCATTGTGAACGCCAAAGCGAACACAGTCATAGTCAGGGCGAAAAGAAGTGCGATAAAAAAGAAAAGCACAAGAGTCAGTTGTTCTTTTTATATTAACACAACACTTGCAAATTTATTTTTCTAAAAATATTTTTAAATAATTATTTTGAACATTTAAATATTTTTGGCGCTGAGATTTAAGGCGCCCCCGTTTCATGACTCCCCGATGCGCCACTTACCGTGCTTACCGCCTAAAATCGGCCCTGAATTGGTCAACAATAACTATATTATTAATTGAAATATGTCCATTTTTTACGGAAGTATAGTAACAAATATGTATGAGATTCTAGGAATCTGAATGTGTACATCATAGGTACAAAAAGGTTTATATAGCTAGGGTTAAATAAACATTATGCATAAGTCTGATTTTAATAATGCCAGTTCTATTAAGAAAGAAAAAGCAGTTATGAAGTCATAGGATAAAGCTACATATTTTTCCTCCTTACTATATTATGTAACTTTATTGTTATTATTATTATTAATATTATGATTTTTTTCTTACAGAAACTCTTCATGTTTATCTAGAGATGCAAGCTGCCTTAAAAGTAATAAATACATACAAAAAAGGCCGTTTAAAAAGTTTTAAGAATAGTTTTGATGCTGTAACATATGCAAGGACTGGATACAAACAATCTTCTTCCAATCATCCTGTGACTGCTACAGTACAAGAATCCAGTAATTTAAAGGCACCAACCACACAGGAACTTATAGCTTTTAAAAGATTAATCGAAAATGGAGATGTGAAGACTGTGAAGAATATTGTGTGGGAAAATCCAGGATATCTAATCAGTAGTGGAGATACACCTGCAATTTTACAGGTCAATATATAATTTTAATCATATTTCTTTGTACTTTTCTACCTCATTTTTTTTTTTAATGTACAAATACCAAGAGCGTAAATATTTTTATTTATATATGCAAATAGGTAAAGAATTTTTTTTTATATGTAATCAATATTTCTTTTGATTTGTATTGTTATTATATCATTATTATCTTAACAAAATTCTAATGTAAAATTATAATATGTTTGTTAAAATAAAATTATATTATTCATAATTTTATATTAGAATTAATGCATAATTATGGAATAAATGTATATATTTTTTAATAGAAATATATATTTATATTTTTAGATGGGCTTTCGATATAATGCTTTACACATAGCAGCGAAAAAGGACAAACCAAAAATGTGCGAATTTTTGTTAAACACTGTTGGAGATCCCAAATTTATGCAGCGGCATTATGGGGAAGATAAATGTAAAACATATCTGAATCTTGAGCAGATTATACAAGATTTATATTTAAATACACCAGACAAAGGACTCAATGAAACCCCGTTACATTTTGCTGTGAAATTTGGCTGTAAAGATGTTGTTCGGGTTCTTGTTTCTTACTCCCAATGCATTAAAACCTTGAAAAACAAGTATCAACAAATGCCTAAAGATGTACGTTTTTTAAATTAATTTTCTTTATTTAATCTAGCTAGATTTATTTATTTATATATATAATTCTTTATTTAATCTAGCTAGATTTTAGTTGTATACATTTTTAATACAAAAAATACAAAATTCAGTATGTCACAAAAGTGATTAATATATTTTTTGCAATATGTTTGCAATAATGTTATTTGTAGTTACGATAGAATTTATTGCATTTTTTATTGCTTCTCGAATATAAACTATTTGCTTCATTGTATTGCAGAAAAAAACATTTAATGATCAAAGAGGCTTTCTCAGGAATATAAATATAAATTGATATGACAGTAAAGTATGAGACAAAGTAAAGGACATATCAGTTTATAGAATTAGTTTCGCATATAAGATTTAAGTCTTTAATACAAATATATAACAATAAAATTAAAATTATTAATAACATAATAAGATTAAATTAATAGAAACATAAATTTATTAATTGTAGATCTCATTAATTTAAGATATCGTATGACAAGTTTCGGTTACGAAATTGAGCCATCCTCAGATATAATAAATTTAATTGTAAACACAGTTATTTACACAATTGTAGAATTGAAGTGGATCAAATATTATATAAAAATCGGAGAATTGCAAACGGTTAGTAGATCGAATATTATGAAAATTTTGGCGCATTATTCTACGAAAGTAAATATAATTGTAATAGAGTTCGCAAACAAATCTAATAAATAAGGCAAAGGAAACTTAACCAAAGGAGTCGTACAATTTCTCATATGATTTTCGATAGTGTGTTCGTCAGAATTGAAGATAGCCAGTGTGTATAAAATTTTTTTAACACATTTATATAATTGTCAAAGAGTTAAATTAGTCAAACAGTAAAATTTCTATACATACCGAAAAGTAAAAATACATCATTAAAAATTAAATCTAAAAATGTGATTATATAAATATAGATAGATAGTTTATATAAATAAGGATTATATAAATAAATAGAGTTAATGAGATATAACAAAACGACACTGACTGAGAAAGAAGTTTGGATGAAAATAATCATTTGCACTGTAATGTCAAACTCTGTTTATTATTGGTATATAATTGGTATATTTATGTTTATTAAAGACTTAAATTTTATGTATGAAACTAATTCTATTGACTCTTATATGTCCTTTACTTTATCTTATTTTTTTGTTATTAAGAGTTCTTTGTTTATATTTATTTAATATAACAGTCATATTTGTGTGATTTTTGTAATGTTCTATAAATTTATTGAGTTTAAATAATAATATATTAATGCATTTAATGGTTTCTTTAACAACATTTATCTTACCACATGTGTATGTTTGATATAAATTTTATATTAATAGAATATTTTTTTTTTACTCCATTTTAATTCTTTTTGTATCTTTGCAAATGTATCTTACTGATGAGTCCAGTAGTGGAAGCCGGGACGAAACGCCAACTTGTGATATTCTTCGCAATCTTATTTTTCTCAGATTTTAAAATTATCATTACTTCAATATTAAATTTTAATATATGTCTTTCAACATATTATTAAGATCTAATAAGATGTTATAAGCATCAAAATTTGTTAGATTGATTGTCAATCTAACTAAAAGTGATATTACCGCGGTAGTTATTTAGAGTTGCGTTGTAAGTCTGAAAAAATGTTCGGCACGCGATTAGGGGAACTACATACGCGATATATAAAATTCACACATAATGATAATAAGCATCGTGATCTAGCTTTGACCGAAATAGGCTTTGCTTTGTGTTTCCTTCTTCCTTGTTATTGTTTAACAATTGTACGGTCGTATAATTAAAAATTAAGATTCTATTATTTATCTTTGCAAAGTTAAGATCCTCATTCTTCAGGGCATCCTATATGTAATCTCTTGATTTTAGATAATATGCAGCAGAAAAAAGGAGGAAGATGAGGCTCTAAAGTGCGAGATACGCATGTTGCTAGAAGATCAATTCTATGTGCCTGTATTAAGAACAGAAGGGAATACATGTCCACCTATCATCGGAGAACCATTCTCGCCGAATGATCCGCTTGTAAATACATATTTGCATGAGTAAAATCTTGAAAAAAAAAACTGCAGATATACTATATTAGTTATATAAAGAATAGAACTTTTATTTTGTGGTTTTTACTATTTTCAGAAGTTGAACAAAGATCCTATCAGTCCTCATGTAGAAGTAAGAGCATTTGCCGGTCCAATGACTAAGACACAAGCAGTAGAATTTCGAAAAAAGTGGAAAACGCCACCACGTGTTACCCCCAAAAAGGGACAAGGTGACGCACCTGGTATTCTAAATAGTCCTAGTATTGCCCTGAAATTGCAAGATACAGAAAAAGGGTTGGAACGTGTTGGAAGGTATATTAAATCCAATTAATTATACAAAATTTATTACTGTATATTTATTGATGATATCGATATACTTGCAATATGTATATATGTGTGTTAAATATTTTAAAATATGATATTTAGAAATAATTAAAAATTGCAATTGTTACAGTTAAGATAATTAATTTTTATGTTATTCAATTTAGATTATCAAAATCAAACGATAAATAAATAATACTGTCACAGTATATTTTTTATTATATCTTATTAAAATAAAAATAGTGAAATATATTTAAAAAAAAATCTCGTTTCACACACAAAACACGATAATTAAAAAATAGTCAGTTTATGAACATGATTGAGATATAAATATAAAATAATTTCCTTAATAAAAATGTAAAAGACGCACGTAGCTTTCGACTTTATTTGATTTTTATCAACTGTCGAGATGAATAATTAATTAAGATATATAGTATAAGTACAGTATAAAGTATTGATAATAAAATAGTATTAATAAAATTATTTATAGCTTAATAAAATAATATTAATACAATCATTTATAGTATAACTTTTACTAGGATAAGAACCCAAAGAGAAAGCAGGTTTTCTGATTTTCAATAACCAGCACCAATTGGCGCAAACTATTGGTATTTGAAATAGATACAATAGATGTCTGTTAAAGTAAGAAACCTGTCAGTTTCTAAAGTCGATGTTTTGTATTTAATTAATTCATATATTTATATTACTATACCTTTCTATTATTTATAGGCTCAATGTCACACATAATTAATTTACATAATTCAATATTAAATTTAAATATTAAATTTTGTAATACATCGTAAGAGTAATTCGTTACTGACTATCCACATTTTAAATTCTTTACTTATATTACTTTTCGGTATTTTTTGAGAGATTGGTTAATAAAGTTTACGTAAGGTCGAAACGTTTTATCCTTTATAATATTTTATATATATTTATTTAAAAAATATTTTATATTTACATCTCAATATTACTTGTCTCTTGGTCTGATTATTCTTGTAATATTGTGTTTTACTTTTCAAATAAGAGCGATTCCTTTTCGTTTTTTAATAATCTGATTTTAATATATATTTTCTAGAGATCTTGCTGAAGAATGTCAAGTACTTTGGAAGGAATATTGGCCGTTTTTGAAAGATTTTGTTGATTTTCGGAGTGACGATGGATTAACAAAACTTGAAAGATATTTGGAGCAAAGATTTAAGAATAAGAGAGAATTATTTTACTCGACGGTATAAAAACATCTAATAATACGCTTTCAATGTCTACATTAAGTAATACTTCTAACATTTGTATCTTTTAATAGAGAAATGTGATTAATAACATTTATACGCCAGCAAATTGTGAAGATGAACCAATAAGTTGCCAACATTCGCCAAGAAAAGTGGATGTCAATGACATACAATATGTTTGTGATAAATTATATACCTGCTCATTAACTACTGAAATTGATAATATTGAAGAAAATACAGGTATCTCACGTGTTTAGTTTCTTTACAGAATTTAATTTTTCTAAAATTCAATAATTTAGAAGGGCTACGAGTCAAAACAATGTCGTTTAATTCAAGTATAGTAAATACAAAAATATAAATATAAATAAAACTATAAAAATTAAAATTTAAATGTTGTAAATAGATGTTTCGATACCGATCGGGTTATTATCAATGTTAACGCAACAAAACATATACGTAACTGTACGGTTTAAGATTATAAAATGTAGAACATTTATGTAGCCTCGACATCTCAATGCAGTATATTGTTGGTAGTCATTATACATGTGATGTTTATGACTAGTGGATTATTCTGTCAATTAGAATAAAAGTGATGTAAATATACGGATATTATAACAATACATGTATGATATGGATAAAACTGTAGAAAAGGGGAGTAATCCTCGATAACCTTGACCTTCACATATTTTGTCAAGGTCATAACCCTGAGTGATTTCCAATAAGTTTTATCCATCGGTCGTCCTTCGTTAAAAATTATTTACAAAAAAGCTTCAAAACTAAGATATTTCTGCTATATACATGTATGATAATATTATAAGTACCTCCCCCTGTTTAGAAATGTTAAACTTTCCACGCGAACTTTTTTCTCTTAACTCTGACCTCCCCTCCCACCTGCAAAGGGACGCACGAATTCTATGATTGTACTGTTGCACGTGAGTTTCGACTTCCCACGTGAAACGAGAGCTATCTCACACCAAAAAATGGGTTAGTTTTTATCTTAGTAAATCAAATAAAAAAAATCCATTTTTTAGTGTGATGGCTTTCGTTTTGCGTCCCTTTGCAGGGGGGAGAGGAGGTGAGAGTCGCTTCGCGTGGAAAGTCACAGGGAAATAATTACTAACTTTGATTATTAATAATTTTTTAACGAATAACGACGGCTAAAACCTGTTGGAGGTCATTCATGGACATGACGTTGGCAACATATGTCAAGGTCAAGGTCGTTGGAGGAAACTCTCCTAAACAGAATATTTACCTATTTTAGAGCTGAGAATTTTGTTTTTATATGCGCCTCGTAGCAGTAGGGGATAATAACTTTTTAACGAAGAACGACCGATGGATAAAATTTATTGAGGATCACTCAAGGTCATGACCTTGACAATATATGTCAGTAATCCCCAAGATTGCTCCCCTTTTCTGCAGTTTTACCATATATTATATTGAACTATAAATTGGTCTGTTAAAATATATGTATTCGTGTAAATATCTTAAAACGTAGAAATGTGATTCGACGATTAAACAGATGAGACGCATCACAATAAATGTTCGATGGAAAGAGACAAAGTGTGACAAGTATACAGAAGGACATCTTAGTAAGTCAATGTTCAGAGACGTTAATTATAATTTAAACGTTAAAAGACGTTAACTATAATTTAAACGTTAAAAATGACTCTCAGAGAAAGAAGATACATCTGGAAAATGGTGGGGATAATACTAGGAAAGAAAGTAGAAATAACGAAGGAAGGAAGGAGAACTATGACGGGAAGAGGGATTGTATAATTTGTAAATATGATTTGTTTATTTAAACCTTAATTTTATCTTCTTATGTAGACCATTTATGATATTAGTCTTTGGTTGTAAGAGAGTTCATTGTCAAGAATTTTGACATCATTCCAATTAAAATTATGATTTAAGTTAACGCGGTGGTCAAATATGACATTTGGAGGATCTGTTTTTTTTTTGTCAGAAATGTGTTCTTACAATCTAGTCTTAAATTTTTCTTTGTTTTTATCCCATATAACTGACTTCACAATTCTCACATGAGCTACTTTTATAAAAAAAATCTATATTCTGATTAGACAACAATTCAAGTCTGTCTTTTTCTCTCTTTATAAAATTTTTTAGTGTGATAAGAGAATGGAAAAGGCTAATTTAACATAAAACTTGGTAGTGATGGGTAAGAAACTTTCAGAGATGGACTTTACGTACGGTACTGTAAAAAATATTTCTTTTATGTTTAAATTATTTATAGGTTTATTGCTTGTCCATATATTGTATTATAATATCTATACATTGACAACATCAACTTTTTATTCTAATTGACAGAATAATCTAGTAGTTATAAGCATCACGTATATAATGATACCAATAATGTACTGTACGCATTGAGATGTTGAGGCTACATAAGTGTTTTACATTTTATAATTTCGGACCGTACAGTTATGTATATGTTTTGTTGCGTTAATATTGATAATGACCCGTCGAAACGTCTGTTTACAATATTTAAATTTAAATTTTTAGAATTTTATTTATATTTATATTTACTATACTTGAAATTAAACGACATTGTTTTGGTTCGTAATCCTTCTAAATTATTGAATTTTATTTTTATTGAGCCACACATATTACTTTATATTATTTAAATTTTTCTATATTGTATGTATACATATACATATATTTTTTCTCTGTGAAATTATATCCCAGGATCCAGATACGATGAAAGGAATAAGGAACAAGAAATAACATAATAGATTTAATTCTATTTATGTATTCTGGTATATTCGGTTGTTGGAAGGTTGAAATCTATTATTCCTTGTTCCTTTCATTGTGTCTAAACTTATTTTTAATCATTTTTATTATAATCTAATTAATATTAACTGTTTATCTTCAATTTTTTAGATAGTTTAGAATTTTTTACACCTCCATCCTCGCCAGAACCTGTTCAAGACGATTCTGATGACGACATGCTAGATGCAGAAGAAGGTTCTCTTATATTTATCGAAGGGTAAACAAATTTCTTTCATTATTTTTTACATAAAGGCGAATATGTTTCATATAATTGATGTTTTTAGGTCTTCACCCACAAAATTAGATTATGCTGTTTACAACGCACTTTCATCTATGATTTGTTCTGATACGTATCCTTATGTTTACCATTGGCGACATGACATGCAGCTAGCTATGAAACGTGATCCATATAGGTATATAATATTGCATCCAATTTCATATTTTTTTTATGACGCGTACTTTATCTATTGTTAGTAATGTCACAGTTTTATGTTAATACATAAATCTTTTTCTAATTTACAGATTTAACAAGACATCCCTCAGAAAGAAACTATTTACAAATAATTAAATATCTATATTGTATTTAACAAGAGATTTACCTTTTTTTTACACTTTGCGCATAAAAGATATAGGTACCGAGCAAAGTGAAGATGTCGAGATTATTTCACCTGCTCAGTTTTCTAAGTCTGGATTTGAGTGTATTGTTTACATGTACAATACAGGCTACATTTTCACTTCGTCCGTTATATCGCCTCTTATGCGCGAAGAGTGTAAAACTCGTTGAACAGAGTATAATCTGAAGAGTCTGAATTGCCAAATTTTAGATTAATGGTTGGGCTGTTTCTTACAAATTCTATATTAATAAGGAAAAAAAATTAATTTACCTGAAGTTAGCTAATTAAGATTGACGCAACTCTCTGACCTCAAAAAAGTTTTAAACTATGTTAATATCGCGTAAACTATTAACACCGAAAGAGACACTACCGTGTCTTCAGATATGAACTTTTTTTGCACAATGTTTGTTGCATTGGATAAGCAAATCATAAATACATTTGAGGTAAGATAAGAGAAAGATATATTTTGAAACATTTTTACAGAGACTTTTAACTAGAAGCCTTCGTGTTCAAATTTTTGTAATTAGCATAACTTCTTTTTATTGTTCATTGTCTATAATTATAATAAATACTCGTTATTGAGAAATACATTCGTAGATTTCCTTGAGTTTTGTCTTCGTCATACCTTACACAAAAAATGCATACTTTTTTACTCATACTTCATAATGTATTTATTATTAATAACTTTTATTATATATAATATTACTTATTTAACAGAATATATTGAATTTTGCTTTTGTTAATATCGTCATAATCACGATGTATATTATCTTTTTTTAATCATAATTTTTCTTATTTATTATAGTTTATATTTTCAAGATTTAATTGCGACGATAATTTATTTAATGTGATCAAGCGTTAATAGGAGTGGGCGGTGTCTGTTTTAATTGTAAAATGATTGAACGCATCCGGGAAACGTCCTTGGAAGTACGGGACGATTTTGGATTGAATTCACAAAGCTTGGCGATGCGTTCCCATTCAGTGCCTGGTTCAACCTCATCTGCCTCTGCGACAAATTGTTTTTCCGCATTCCTATTCGTGAAGAAATATATATTAAACCAATGCAAAGTCATGTATCGTATATCAGTTAGTAATGTAAAGAAATGAGAAATTAAGTAATATTCCTATTTCATTAATATATTTTAGAAACTTGAGAAAAAATTAAAAATTTATATTGTTTTTATATTATGCGATATGGACTTGCTATAGGAGTTATACAATCACAGTTCTTTTTAGTATTCATATTGTGCGTAAGCAAATAATGCTTAATTAATAAGCTTTTCTTTCTTTCAATTTATAGAAATAGTTTTAGTATAAAAGGCAGTAGGTAATTCATCATTAAGCATTCAAGGAATAAAGTGCATTTAAATTAATCAGTTTATGGATATATTATAAAATACAGATATACTCTTGAGAATAACTTATTAAGCAGCATTATTTAAATGCAATCTCAAAATTATTTATTAAGAAGCAATATCATAGTGTGTGTGCGTGCGCAGAAAAA